ACCTGTGTTCTTCCACCAAGTCCTACTCTACCTGTGTACCTTCCTCAAGTCCCACTCTACCTGTGTTCCTCCACCAAGTCCTACTCTACCTGTGTACTTCCACCAAGTCCTACTCTACCTGTGTACCCCCCTCCTACTCTACCTGTGTCCTCCTCCAGGTCCTACCTGTGTGCCTCCCTCAAGTCCCACTCTACCTCTGTACCTTCATGAAGTCCTACTCTACTTGTGTACCTCCACCAAGTCCTACTCTACCTGTGTACCTCCCTCAGGTCCTACTCTACCTGTGTACCTCCCTCAGGTCCTACTCTACCTGTGTACCTCCCTCAGGTCCTACTCTACCTGTGTACCTCCCTCAAGTCCCACTCTACCTCTGTACCTTCATGAAGTCCTACTCTACTTGTGTACCTCCACCAAGTCCTACTCTACCTGTGTACCTCCCTCAGGTCCTACTCTACCTGTGTACCTCCCTCAGGTCCTACTCTACCTGTGTACCTCCCTCAAGTCCCACTCTACCTCTGTACCTTCATGAAGTCCTACTCTACTTGTGTACCTCCACCAAGTCCTACTCTACCTGTGTACCTCCCTCAGGTCCTACTCTACCTGTGTACCTCCCTCAGGTCCTACTCTACATGTGTACCTCCCTCAGGTCCTACTCTACCTGTGTACCTCCCTCAAGTCCTACTCTACCTGTGTACCTCCACCAAGTCCTACTCTACCTGTGTACCTTCCTCAAGTCCCACTCTACCTGTGTTCCTCCACCAAGTCCTACTCTACCTGTGTACCTCCTTCAAGTGCTACTCTACCTGTGTACCTCCACCAAGTCCTACTCTACCTGTGTACCTTCCTCAAGTCCCACTCTACCTGTGTTCCTCCACCAAGTCCTACTCTACCTGTGTACCTCCACCAAGTCCCACTCTACCTGTGTTCCTCCACCAAGTCCTACTCTACCTGTGTTCCTCCACCAAGTCCCACTCTACCTGTGTTCCTCCACCAAGTCCTACTCTACCTGTGTACCTCCACCAAGTCCTACTCTACCTGTGTACCTCCACCAAGTCCTACTCTACCTGTGTACCTCCCTCAGGTCCCTACTCTACATGTGTGTACCTCCCCAGGTCCTACTCTACCTCTGTACCTCCCTCAAGTCCTACTCTACCTGTGTACCTCCACCAAGTCCTACTCTACCTGTGTACCTTCCTCAAGTCCCACTCTACCTGTGTTCCTCCCACCAAGTCCTACTCTACCTGTGTACCTCCACCAAGTCCTACTCTACCTGTGTACCTCCACCAAGTCCTACTCTACCTGTGTACCTCCTTCAAGTCCCACTCTACCTGTGTTCCTCCACCAAGTCCTACTCTACCTGTGTACCTCCACCAAGTCCTACTCTACCTGTGTACCTCCTTCAAGTCCTACTCTACCTGTGTACCTCCACCAAGTCCTACTCTACCTGTGTACCTCCACCAAGTCCTCTACCTGTGTACCTCCTTCCAAGTCCCACTCTACCTGTGTACCTCCACCAAGTCCTACTCTACCTGTGTACCCCCTTCAAGTCCTACTCTACCTGTGTACCTCCACCACGTCTTACTCTACCTGTGTACCTCCCTCAAAACCCTACTCTACCTGTGTACCTCCCTCAAGTCCTACTCTACCAGTGTACCTCCCCACCATGCACACATACATATTCCCCACCATGCACACACGCAGTTATACTAGCCAGTCTCAAGCCTGCACGGTCACATAACACACGTCCTCGTACGTACACAGGCGTATGTAGAGACATGAGGTTAGATTCCGGCCGGGCGAAGATTGACAGTGGGCCAGAAGCAGTAGTGCTCGTCACATGGGGCAGAAGAGTGGGAGTGGGCCAAGAAGTAGTGCTCGTCACATGGGGCAGAAGAGTGACAGTGGGACAGTAGGTAGTGCTCGTCACATGGGGCAGAAGAGTGACAGTGGGACAGTAGGTAGTGCTCGTCACATGGGGCAGAAGAGTGACAGTGGGACAAGAGGTAGTGCTCGTCACATGGGCCAGAAGAGTAGAGAGGGGCAGAAGAGTGGCCAAGAAGCAGTGCTCGTCACATGGGGCAGAAGAGTGGGAGTGGGCCAAGAAGCAGTGCTCGTCACATGGGGCAAAAGAGTAGGTAGGTAGTGGGGGGCAAGAAGCAGTGCTCGGTAGGCCACATGGGTCAGTAGGTAGAGCTAGTCACATGGGCCAAGAAGTGACAGTGCTCGTCACATGGGGCAGAAGAGTGACAGTGGGCCAAGGAGCAGTGCTCGTCACATGGGGCAGAAGAGTAGGAGTAGGAGTGCTCGTCATGGGCCAAGAAGCAGTGCTCGTCACGTGGGGCAGAAGTGTGGGAGTGGGCCAAGAAGCAGTGCTCGTCACATGGGCCAGAAGCAGAGTAGGAGTGGGCCAAGAAGCAGTGCTCGTCACATGGGGCAGAAGAAGAGTGAGAGTGGGCCAAGAAGCAGTGCTCGTCACATGGGTCAGAAGAGTAGGAGTGGGCCAAGAAGCAGTGCTCGTCACATGGGGCAGAAGAGTAGGAGTGGGCCAAGAAGCAGTGCTCGTCACACGGGGCAGAAGAGTGGGAGTGGGCCAAGAAGCAGTGCTCGTCACACGGGGCAGAAGAGTTGTAACGGGCCAAGAAGCAGTGCTCGTCACATGGGGCAGAAGAGTAGGAGTGGGCCAAGAAGCAGTGCTCGTCACATGGGGCAGAAGAGTAGGAGTGGGCCAAGAAGCGGTGCTCGTCACGTGGGGCAGAAGAGTAGGAGTGGGCCAAGAAGCGGTGCTCGTCACATGGGGAAGAAGAGTAGGAGTGGGCCAAGAAGCATTTCGCGTCACATGGGTCAGCAAAGTGAGAGCTGGGTGCGTAATGAGATGGGGTGTTTGTGAGATATTTGGAAGGTGAGATGGGATGAGAGGCAGCGCTTGTGAGTTCCAGTGATATACACATTTAGAGAGATATATATATCACGCTATCTAAAGCCTGTCACAGGTGTGTCTACCTTGTCACATCTAAATACGATATATCGTGACACTGAGTGCTATAAGCCTTCCCTTCGACTCCCCCCACCTGTGGCTAAATGATACATGGAGCACTCGGAACTCGCCGTAACAATTTGCAGAATTGTATTTTACAGTGCTACCTGTCTGTGTGGGGAATCGCCTGTTTAAACTGGGTCATGCAATAAGTGAAATACATCAATTGCTTTTACTTTGCCTTTTTGCAGTAGGAGCTGCACTGAAACAAGTGTTGTCGGTGTCTAAAGGACATCCAGTCGGTGCTGCACTGAAACAAGTGTTGTCGGTGTCTAAAGGACATCCAGTCGGTGCTGCACTGAAACAGGTGTTGTCTGTGTTTAAAGCACATCTAGTGGGTGCTCTGCTGAAACAGCTGTTGTCGGTATTTAAAGCACATCTGGGCGGTGCTCTGCTGAAACAGGTGTTGTCTGTGTCTAAAGCACATCTAGTCGGTGCTCTGCTGAAACAGGTGTTGTCTGTGTCTAAAGCACATCTAGTCGGTGCTCTGCTGAAACAGGTGTTGTCTGTGTCTAAAGCACATCTAGTCGGTGCTCTGCTGAAACAGGTGTTGTCTGTGTCTAAAGCACATCTAGTCGGTGCTCTGCTAAAACAGGTGTTGTCTGTGTCTAAAGCACATCTAGTCGGTGCTCTGCTGAAACAGGTGTTGTCGGTGTCTAAAGCGCTTCTTGTCGGTGCTGCACTGAAACAGTCCCCCATTAATACACCATCATTAAACCCACCAGTATACACCCAGCCTCTCATTGGTACAACACCATTAAACCCATATGTGTACACACACCCTCTTATTAATACACCACCATTAGACCCATCTGTTTTCAGCCTCCATTAATATACCACCATCGAGCCACTTTCATACAGGCTTTCCCTATTCGTGATCGTTTACCCCTCCACAATACCTCTCTTCACCCTGATAACATCATTCCGTGCTCTGCCCCCAGGCCACCCCCTCCTTCTCCCCCTCCCCCCTCCTACACACCTGCAAATCTACCAGTATCAATGTTAGAGGGTAATCTTGACACCTTGATGATTGAAATGTTATCCGACATTCCATACTTCCAGACACGGCAGCCCAGTACGTGGGATTACGTCTGTCTTCGTGTATCACCTTCCCAGTCACATTAATCACCCGGTGCATTAGTTTTTCTGTAATCAGCATTGCGAGAGTTAATCAGCACTGTTGTACTTTATTACCCTTCCTTCAATCCTTGTCATCAGTCTTAGAGGTCACATGAAACCTTATGTATGTATCATCAAGGCCATTCGTCCCCTTGTTTCATTAAGGCCCATCAATCCTCCTGTATCATCAAGGCATCCATCCCCTTGTTCCATTAAGGCTCATAAATCCTCCTGTATCACAAGGCCATTCATCCCCTTGTTTCCTTAAGGCCCATCAATCGCCCTGTATCACAAGGCCATCACTCCCCTTGTTTCATAAAGGCCCATCACTCCTCCTGTATGACAAGGCCATCACTCCCCTTGTTTCATTAAGGCCCATCAATCCTTCTGTATCACAAGGCCATCCATCCCTTGTTTCATTAAGGCTCATCAATCCTCCTGTATCACAAGGCCATCCATCCCCTTGTTTCATTAAGGCCCATCAATCCTCCTGTATCACAAGGCCATTCATCCCCTTGTTTCATTAAGGCTCATCAATCCTCCTGTATCACCAAGGCCGTCCGTCCCCTTGTTTCCTTAAGGCACATCACTTCTGTATCATCAAGGCATCCATCCCCTTGTTCCATTAGGGCCCATCAATCCTCCTTTATGACAAGGCCATTCATCCCCTTGTTTCATTAAGGCCCATCAATCCTCTTGTATCACAAGGCCATCCATCCCTTTGTATCATCTAGGCCATCCATCCTTTTGTATCAACCAGGCCTGTCATTCTTCCTGTATCATCAAAGCTATCCAATGTTATTCTCCACTGAAGTGAAATATATGACAATGTTATTCTCTGATTCAGCCGGTGCAGAGAGCGGAGGAGCCAGGAGCTACCAGGGAAGATGCCCCGAGGAACGCGCGCAGGCGATGGAGTCAGCTAAACGGGACAATTCAGTGGTGTTCGTCCCCGACTGCAGCGCTGACGGCACCTTCGCGGAAGTCCAGTGTCACGCCACCGGCTACTGCTGGTGCACCACCAAGGATGGCCACCACATTCCGGGAACTTCCGTCAAAGACCGCAGACCTCGTTGTGGGAGAGGTAGACGAGGTCAACACTGATTTATTATTCCGATACCATGCCTTGTTTCGCTTTCAGTTCGTTCTCTTCCTTGTTTACGGTCATTCGACATACTGAACATATATTTATCAGTTATATGTCTTTCAAAAGGGATCACAGGTGTACAACACTAAGACGCAGGACGTCTCTGTGCAAAGTGTACTAGCGCATGCCAGAGAAGCCTGAATCAGGGTTCGAATCCCGGTTTGACCAGATAATATGTCTAGGTTTGGCGGCAGCATACCCCTCTTCGTAAATGTCGCCAACGAGGTGAACGTCTCAGACCTGCATAACTTCCGCCCTCATGTACCTGGACTACTGTTCATAGTGGCGCTAAACATTTCACATGCAGATACAGCTGTCTGTCATGGAGAAATCTGGAGCCTCGGCTCATACCGACAGTTTATTTCATCATCGAAATCAGCTGAAACATAATTTCTCTATCATTTTGCACTATTACAATTAGTTGCGTAAACAATAGTTGCATTTAGAACCAAAGCGTGATGTTATAAAACGTTATCAAATGAAAACGTACTTAATGTATAGAACCCCTAACACAGAGTCATAACCAATAGACAGTATTATAACTGTTTCAATACACCATTTCCTGGGGAGTACACAACCAATAGACAGTATTATAACTGTTTCAATACACCATTTCCTGGGGAGTACACAACCAATAGACAGTATTATAACTGTTTCAATACACCATTTCCTGGGGAGTACACAACCAATAGACAGTATTATAACTGTTTCAATACACCATTTCCTGGGGAGTACACAACCAATAGACAGTATTATAACTGTTTCAATACACCATTTCCTGGGAGTACACAACCAATAGACAGTATTATAACTGTTTCAATACACCATTTCCTGGGGTACACACAACCAATAGACAGTATTAGACAGTTTCCTGGGATTATAACTGTTTCAATACACCATTTCCTGGGGAGTACACAACCAATAGACAGTATTATAACTGTTTCAATACACCATTTCCTGGGGAGTACACAACCAATAGACAGTATTATAACTGTTTCAATACACCATTTCCTGGGGAATTACACAACCAATAGACAGTATTATAACTTTCAATACACCATTCAATACACCATTTCCCTGGGGAGTACACAACCAATAGACAGTATTATAACTGTTTCAATACACCATTTCCCTGGGGAGTACACAACCAATAGACAGTATTATAACTGTTTCAATACACCATTTCCCTGGGGAGTACACAACCCTTAGACAGTATTATAACTGTTTCAATACACCATTTCCCTGGGGAGTACACAACCAATAGACAGTATTATAACTGTTTCAATACACCATTTCCCTGGGGAGTACACAACCAATAGACAGTATTATAACTGTTTCAATACACCATTTCCCTGGGGAGTACACAACCAATAGACAGTATTATAACTGTTTCAATACACCATTTCCTGGGAGTACACAACCAATAGACAGTATTATAACTGTTTCAATACACCATTTCCTGGGAGTACACAACCAATAGACAGTATTATAACTGTTTCAATACACCATTTCCTGGGGAGTACACAACCAATAGACAGTATTATAACTGTTTCAATACACCATTTCCTGGGAGTACACAACCAATAGACAGTATTATAACTGTTTCAATACACCATTTCCTGGGGAATACACAACCAATAGACAGTATTATAACTGTTTCAATACACCATTTCCTGGGGAGTACACAACCAATAGACAGTATTATAACTGTTTCAATACACCATTTCCCTGGGAGTACACAACCAATAGACAGTATTATAACTGTTTCAATACACCATTTCCTGGGGAGTACACAACCAATAGACAGTATTATAACTGTTTCAATACACCATTTCCTGGGGAGTACACAACCAATAGACAGTATTATAACTGTTTCAATACACCATTTCCTGGGAATTACACAACCAATAGACAGTATTATAACTGTGTTTCAATACACCATTTCCCTGGGGTAGTACACAACCAATAGACAGTATTATAACTGTTTCAATACACCATTTCCCTGGGGAGTACACAACCAATAGACAGTATTATAACTGTTTCAATACACCATTTCCCTGGGAGTACACAACCAATAGACAGTATTATAACTGTTTCAATACACCATTTCCCTGGGGAGTACACAACCAATAGACAGTATTATAACTGTTTCAATACACCATTTCCTGGGGAGTACACAACCAATAGACAGTATTATAACTGTTTCAATACACCATTTCCTGGGAGTACACAACCAATAGACAGTATTATAACTGTTTCAATACACCATTTCCTGGGGAGTACACAACCAATAGACAGTATTATAACTGTTTCAATACACCATTTCCTGGGAGTACACAACCAATAGACAGTATTATAACTGTTTCAATACACCATTTCCTGGGGAGTACACAACCAATAGACAGTATTATAACTGTTTCAATACACCATTTCCCTGGGGAGTACACAACCAATAGACAGTATTATAACTGTTTCAATACACCATTTCCTGGGGAGTACACAACCAATAGACAGTATTATAACTGTTTCAATACACCATTTCCTGGGGAGTACACAACCCAATAGACAGTATTATAACTGTTTCAATACACCATTTCCTGGGGAGTACACAACCAATAGACAGTATTATAACTGTTTCAATACACCATTTCCTGGGAGTACACAACCAATAGACAGTATTATAACTGTTTCAATACACCATTTCCTGGGGAGTACACAACCAATAGACAGTATTATAACTGTTTCAATACACCATTTCCCTGGGGAGTACACAACCAATAGACAGTATTATAACTGTTTCAATACACCATTTCCTGGGGAGTACACAACCAATAGACAGTATTATAACTGTTTCAATACACCATTTCCTGGGGAGTACACAACCAATAGACAGTATTATAACTGTTTCAATACACCATTTCCTGGGGAGTACACAACCAATAGACAGTATTATAACTGTTTCAATACACCATTTCCTGGGGAGTACACAACCAATAGACAGTATTATAACTGTTTCAATACACCATTTCCTGGGGAGTACACAACCAATAGACAGTATTATAACTGTTTCAATACACCATTTCCTGGGGAGTACACAACCAATAGACAGTATTATAACTGTTTCAATACACCATTTCCTGGGGAGTACACAACCAATAGACAGTATTATAACTGTTTCAATACACCATTTCCCTGGGGAGTACACAACCCAATAGACAGTATTATAACTGTTTCAATACACCATTTCCCTGGGGAGTACACAACCAATAGACAGTATTATAACTGTTTCAATACACCATTTCCTGGGGAGTACACAACCAATAGACAGTATTATAACTGTTTCAATACACCATTTCCTGGGAGTACACAACCAATAGACAGTATTATAACTGTTTCAATACACCATTTCCCTGGGAGTACACAACCAATAGACAGTATTATAACTGTTTCAATACACCATTTCCTGGGAGTACACAACCAATAGACAGTATTATAACTGTTTCAATACACCATTTCCTGGGGAGTACACAACCAATAGACAGTATTATAACTGTTTCAATACACCATTTCCCTGGGAGTACACAACCAATAGACAGTATTATAACTGTTTCAATACACCATTTCCTGGGGAGTACACAACCAATAGACAGTATTATAACTGTTTCAATACACCATTTCCTGGGAGTACACAACCAATAGACAGTATTATAACTGTTTCAATACACCATTTCCTGGGGAGTACACAACCAATAGACAGTATTATAACTGTTTCAATACACCATTTCCTGGGGAGTACACAACCAATAGACAGTATTATAACTGTTTCAATACACCATTTCCCTGGGGAGTACACAACCAATAGACAGTATTATAACTGTTTCAATACACCATTTCCTGGGGAGTACACAACCAATAGACAGTATTATAACTGTTTCAATACACCATTTCCTGGGGAGTACACAACCAATAGACAGTATTATAACTGTTTCAATACACCATTTCCCTGGGGAGTACACAACCAATAGACAGTATTATAACTGTTTCAATACACCATTTCCTGGGGAGTACACAACCAATAGACAGTATTATAACTGTTTCAATACACCATTTCCTGGGGAGTACACAACCAATAGACAGTATTATAACTGTTTCAATACACCATTTCCTGGGGAGTACACAAACCAATAGACAGTATTATAACTGTTTCAATACACCATTTCCTGGGGAGTACACAACCAATAGACAGTATTATAACTGTTTCAATACACCATTTCCTGGGGAGTACACAACCAATAGACAGTATTATAACTGTTTCAATACACCATTTCCCTGGGGAGTACACAACCAATAGACAGTATTATAACTGTTTCAATACACCATTTCCTGGGGAGTACACAACAACCAATAGACAGTATTATAACTGTTTCAATACACCATTTCCTGGGAGTACACAAACCAATAGACAGTATTATAACTGTTTCAATACACCATTTCCCTGGGAGTACACAACCAATAGACAGTATTATAACTGTTTCAATACACCATTTCCTGGGAGTACACAACCAATAGACAGTATTATAACTGTTTCAATACACCATTTCCTGGGGAGTACACAACCCAATAGACAGTATTATAACTGTTTCAATACACCATTTCCTGGGAGTACACAACCAATAGACAGTATTATAACTGTTTCAATACACCATTTCCTGGGGAGTTTCACAACCAATAGACAGTATTATAACTGTTTCAATACACCATTTCCTGGGGAGTACACAACCAATAGACAGTATTATAACTGTTTCAATACACCATTTCCTGGGAGTACACAACCAATAGACAGTATTATAACTGTTTCAATACACCATTTCCTGGGAGTACACAACCAATAGACAGTATTATAACTGTTTCAATACACCATTTCCCTGGGAAGTACACAACCAATA